TTGTGAGGCCAATGACATTTACACCACTGGGTCGAGGTTTACGCCGACAAATCCACCTTCCACTGCTTTTGATACATACAGTGTCTCGCCACCGACAGCGATGGCTGAAAATGGCGTGAACCCAGCCACGACTCTTTCAGGGGCAAACGCCATGTATTTTGGCCAAACGAGTTTCCCATATGTGATGCCCTGGGGAAATATGGGGAGCATGGATGGCATCACCTTCGACAGCCAGGATATAGACATTGCTGCCTTGGGACTGCAGCAATCAGACATGATGGGGCCTTGGTTAGACTACATACCTTCAGATGTGTTGAGTCTTTTTGAGCATCAGCATCCGCACATGGGTCAGGGCGGTCATTGATTCGGCGGACTTATATAATAGATCTGAGCATGTCAAATCGCATATACCCACGAGGGATGGCCCGGTATATTTATGAGGCGTATTTGGTACGCATATATGGCGTTTGGTGGGAGCAATAAAATAGGGCTAATACGTTATACCAAGTTTCCTAAGTTCGAGCTTGGCGCAGTAGGCGTATGGATATAGGCTTGGCTTTTAATGATATGTTGCTTGGTAGCTATATATTTGATAGCATTCCCCTGTACCTGTTGGGTAATGCTGTAGTGGGCTATACACTGAATCGACGTGACTCGTGAGGACATGAATCCAGAGTGAGTATGGATGTGAAGGCTGTAAGCTGTGGCTGCTAGCCCTTCGACTCGACAAAAAAGCATCACAGTGTCACGATAGATCTTAAAATACCTCACAGAGTTGTCCTGTTCACCCTGAATTCGAACACGCGAACTGCAAAAAACGAAGAGTGGTGCAGGGAAGAGAGTTTTAGGATTTAGGTTCGGGTTTTAGAAGGTTTATAGGTTATAGGTAGATACCCCTACACCACCATTTGCCGATGATATACAGAGTGATTTTGGTATATAAGGGTAGGCCCTAAGTAAAGAGGTTGATATTTTGGTATGTGAGGGTAGGCCAGGGCATCAAATACTCTACAAATAGCAACGGATGTGCTCACATTTACATCGTACAAGAATAGACATCTACAATTTAGCCTTGGTATCCTTCAACCACTGCTCATACCAAACCTTTCCAAACTCCTTCCTCTCACCCTCCCTACTCTGCGCCTCCTCAAATCTCTGCTCATGCGCCTCCATAGAAGGCCCCCTCATAAACTCGACCAAACCAGCGTACATCTCCATTTTCAACACGCCGTAAACACCAGACTTGCTCTTGTCGATGAGTTCCTTGTCCTTGATAAAGTTGAGCAGGTCCTCGAGACCCTTGGGCGCAAGAGCATCGGCGATACCAGCTGCGAGGGCATCCTCGCCTGTGAAGCGCTTGGCTTCGAGGACGAGGCTTCGGTAGGTTGAGTGGGAGTACTTGATGCGGAAGAGAGCTGACATGGCGGGTTTGAGGGGTGCGCCGAAGACAAGCTCGTTGAGACAGAGGAAACCTCGTGGGGTTGGCGCGAGGCGATAGTCTTGGGCTGTGGCGAGCATGAGACCGCCTGCGAAAGCGTGGCCGTTCATGAGAGCCACTGTGGGCATAGGGTATCTAAAACAGTCAGCACAGCACTCATAAGCACTCAGTCTTATTGTAAACGTACGTCAAGAAACGAGCCCAGACATCATAGAGCAAAGGCCAGAAACCCTCTGTCGCAACAGCATGCTCAAGATCAAGACCATTGCTATAAAACTTTGGGATTCCAGAAGTAGTCGCTACAACACCGTGAGGATAACCAAACTCGATAATGTCAAGAGCGTTGAGAAAGGCTTTGAGAACGGGTGTTGTAAGACGGTTGTCGGGTGGTGAGAGGAGGGTGAGAAGGTAGACTCTCGGTGAGGGCTCTGTGCATGTGAGGGTTCCGCCGGGATGGGCGCCGCACTTTGCGATGGGGAGTGTGAAGAGAGTAGACATTTTTCTATGGTTTGATTTGAGAGTGAGATGAGAGGTTGTGAGGGAGAGTGGGCGTTGTTGGGTGGTATAAGAGCCGTGGAGTTGAAGGCCGGCTAAGGAAAACACCTCGGCTTGTGGATATGCCTGGGGTAAAGTGAGATACATGATGAATCTGAGATGGGCTTCTCGGCATATGAGAGATCACATGATACAAGAAATTTCATGGGTTTTTATACTGGAGAGTGAGATACTGATACTAGTACCCGAGTCCAAGTATTATTAATAATGTATGTATTGTTTGTCGTGATGCCTTGAGCCTCTTGCATGTGAACGATTTAAAGATTCTGGGGTAAAAGGATACGTACCGCTCATGATGAAACGGTCCCACTTCCCATGACAGCCACGCACCCCAACCTCGAAGGGAAATAAAACTTCTGACGTTCAACTAGGGTGCCAGAATAAACTGGTCTAAAGCTCTGCTAAAATACACTAAGCCTACCTAAATCTTTTTATCGCTTGTGATAAAGGTCCTTGTCCAGTTATCACCAGCCAATAGCAGGCCTCCTTCTCAAGCCCCACTGGAGCTTTCATTTCCAACTCCAAAAAACCCCCACTAACCAAACATCGTACATAGCCTCTCATAACCACCACCACCACCAAAAACCAAGACCGCGATCATGGCTTCGGACGCCAAAGATAAAGACTCCATCGTCTTCTTCCATCCTGATCTTGGCATTGGAGGTGCTGAGCGTCTTGTCGTCGATGCTGCGGTCGGGTTGCAGGAGAGGGGACATCGGGTCGTGATATTTACCAATCACTGCGATCCGAAGCATTGCTTTGATGAGTGTCGTGATGGTAAGAACTCCAAGACTGTTTGTATACGAGTTGACTAACGGGACTAGGGACCCTCGATGTTCGTGTTCGCGGCCACTGGCTCATCCCAATGTCTATCCTCTCGCGCCTCACAATCCTCTGCGCCATCCTTCGTCACGTCCATCTTCTCATCCACATTGCTCTGACTGGCGAACTGCAAGCTCTACGACCCCGCGCCTTTATCGTCGATCAGCTCTCCGCCGGCCTCCCTCTCATGCGCTACATCGCTCCATCCTCGCCCATCCTTTTCTACTGCCACTTCCCCGATCTTCTCCTCGCGCAAGGTCGCGAATCTGCCCTCAAGCGCTTGTACCGACGTCCGTTTGACTGGCTTGAGGAATGGACTATGGGTTTTGCGAGCGCTGTGGCTGTGAATTCGGGTTTCACGAAGGGCGTGGTTAACAATACGTGGCCGAATTTGAAGAAGCGTACGGAAACGAAGGTGGTGTATCCTTGTGTGGACACGGAAGTCAGGGAGAAGGAGGATGTTGGCAGTGATGGTGATGTTCCGTTCAAGGGGGAGAAGATTATTCTCAGTATCAACCGCTTTGAGAGGAAGAAGGATATTGGTCTTGCGATCAAGGCCTTTGCTTCCATTCCTGAAGCTGAGCGCAAGGGATGCAGGCTCATTCTTGCAGGTAGGATATACATGAGCCTCTGACCTGAAAGTAATACTAACTTGTCATTAGGCGGCTACGATCCTCGCGTCGCTGAGAATGTCCAATATCACTCTGAGCTCGAGACCCTCGCCTCTTCCCACGGTCTCGAACATCTCACCACAAAGACCCTCATTACCGCTCTATCTGCGCCTGCAACCGTTCCAGTTCTCTTTCTCCTCTCGATCCCCAACTCCCTCAAGGCATCGCTCCTCCGCTCGGCACGTATTCTTCTTTACACACCCGCCAACGAGCACTTCGGCATCGTGCCCCTAGAAGCCATGCTTGCCCGTACACCAGTACTAGCTGCCGACTCAGGTGGCCCCGTAGAAACAATCGTTGATGGCGAGACGGGATGGCTACGATCGCCAAAGGACGTAGATGCCTGGGCTGATGTCGTGCGCAGTGCGCTGAAACTTAGCGATGCTGATGTGCAGAAGATGGGCGACAAGGGTGCTGCGAGAGTGAAGGACTTGTTTGGGCGAGAGCAGATGGCCAAGCGCTTTGATGAGATCCTGGTTGATATCGTCAGCAAGAAACCCCCGGTATCTGCCATGCGAACAGTCGTCAACGCCGCTGGAGTCTTAGTGGTCTGTGTTTTGGGACTGGTGGTATCAGCACTCCTTGCTAGCAAAAAGGAAGAGGTAGTATCGGAATTTGCCGTTTAGCGGACACGTATAGTTATTCTTTTAATATACCATCAGACTCATTTTGACTTCTATTATACATAAGTTTACATAATTTTACGTAAGTTCATATCAGTTTATATAATAAGCTCACATAACTTCATCGAAGTTTATACAGGTAAGTTCACATATTAGGCTCAGAGTTCTGCAGTTTCAAGGGGCTATTATTATCGGTGTCAGATGCACAGCACCGACACAAATCTTCGCAAGATGGAATGACATCCAGCTAAAGAAAGCAACAAATCTCTCCACCGTATCTATGCAAATGCACGCAAGCCTCCCTGTTCCCTAGGGCAGGCTGCTATGATGCCGCTGTATATAGCCCAGCATGAAAAAATGCAAGGGATTCATTCTTATTCCTCCTCCTTCTCGTCATATATATAAACACTGCGTCCGTCAACATAGGACTGGCTTCCGACGAAGCGGTGACGTTCTGGGCCTCTCTGCCGTTCATCCGATACATATTCATCCTTATCCTCCTCCTTCGATTTCATTCCAGCTCATAAACCCGTCATTATTCTCATTTCCTCATCCATACATCCCTCCCACGAACAACTATCCGTCCCAAAAACAACACGGGATAAATATTTATAGCAACTGAGCCACCCATGATATGCCATAAAATAGCAATGCAGTAACGATCCCTCTCTGGGATGCGAGCAACGATCTAATAACAAGAAAACACCTGATGTGATGCCAAGCTTCGTGCAAAGCGAAGGCCTCATGCTCCAAAACATTTCTCCAGGCAACTGAAGATGCAACTCAACCCATAATGAAAAAGACTCTCAATGCTTGTCTGGCATTTGACAAAGTATGTGACAAGAGAAATAAATGAACTTAATAAATATGCCACGAAACGGGGAAGGGGTATCATGTTTCATAGGGCGACGTCCCCTCGTCACCATATGCAGAGGTTGGCACCTTCTTGGCAGTTTCGGTGCTCGCAATGCTAATGTTGGTGTCACGTCTTCGAGGGTTGAAGACTGGAGGTCGTGACGTAGTCTGCGCTGGCTTCTTCTTTGACTTAGTGGCCATAAGCAAGATCCCGTCATCACTGCCATCGTCGTCTAAATCATCGTCAACGGGCCGGGCAACGGGAGTACTAGTCACCGAGTCCCGTGCACCACCTTCCAGATGGACAGCAAGGGAGCCACTGTCCATGGCAGGAGGATTGCCGTACACGTGATCAATGGGAAAGCCATTGGGTTCCTTGTCAAAAGCCGGTGGCGTCAGACTGTCGGTGGTTTCGAGTAGCTGAGGGTGAGCGCTAACAATGCCTGGCTTGCACAACAGCTCGGCTTCCATGTCGGCTGAAACGGAGCTGGCACCACTGAGCAGGGCTGGCAGAGAGGGATCGGACTGGAATGCCAACATCCGCTCTGATGTGCTGGCTGTAGAAGGGAGCGCTGAGACAGGGCTGGTGACACTGGGGCTAGTCGATGGGGTGGCCAAAGCCTCCATTGAATCGACACTTGACGACTTAGTGGTGGGCATGGTATCTGCGCGTGGAAGGGGTTCATCTCGAGTCCATTCTTCCTGGATGGGTGAGGGCGGGCAAGAGTAACTGATCTGTTCAGTTTGTCGATCACATCGTCGCATGCAGAGATCTTCCGAGTGACGAGGTGGTGACGTTCTTGTGATCGGGGCGCTATCCATTCTCTGAAGGGATCGCGGTCGGGTCTTGTTGCAAGGTTCAACAGAGCGGGTGGAACCTGCGTGACTATGCTGTTGACCGGCGGCGACGGCAAGAGATGAAGAGAGTATAGAGGCTTCCAAGCGTCTATGGTGCGAAGCCTTTCCCAAGTCAACGGACTTGACAGGTCGTCTTCCATGACGAGGTGGTGCTTGGACACTGCCGGGGGCAACGGTAGTATTGACGCCCACCTTAGGTTCAGCGCGTTTATCTGAGCTGGAGAAGAGGCCACGGTCGACGGACTTGGACCGCGAGCTTTCATCCATGGAATCTGTCAAGTCCAGGTCGCGAGTCTTTCGGACTGTCTCGGCCCCAGAGTCATCTGGTCCGTCGACTGGGCTGGAGAAGTAAGGTGTAGTAGGAGTGGTTTGAGAGATGGGCATGGGGGAACCAAGATGGAGCCAGTGTTGAGTGGTTTTAGTATGTCCATGGCTATGAGCGTGACGATGGAAGGGCCATAGAGAGGCTGCCGAAGATGACTTCTCGGGTTCGCGTATCGACTCGCTCTCACTATGAGCATGATGATGGCCTCGGTAGACGCCGGCTTCGGGGAGAACAGTCGCCAACGGGTCATAGATGACGGATTCGGGCTGTGGGCTGACTGATTGGCTGACTGAGAGAGGATGCTCAGGCGCCGCGGCGGCATCTCGCATGGCACTCGCGAAGTAGTCGTCAGGGCGGAGACTCTTGCGGCGGTTCTCGCGGTGCTGCCCATGAGGAGTCGGAGGTCCGTTATTGTACATGCTTACGTTGTCGCCGGTGGAGCTAGCAGCACTACTGTTGGCTCGATGTCGCGTTTTGCTATCACTTCGTTCCACAAGGGGGTGCATTACCTTGCCAACAGCCTTCTTGACCACTGAGCGAGCACGCTCCAGAAAGGTAAGAGGCACGACAGCGGATGACATTTCCCTTTCATCGACTTGGATCTTTCGACCAGAAGAAGGGCGAGCAGGGTCAGTGTCGTCGAGCCATCCGATAGGATTCATGATATCCTGGACGACCCATGGGTGACGCTTGATGTCTCGAAGTCGAATTCGTTTTTCGGGGTTCTTGGTGAGCATTTGTCGCAGCAGGTCAATAAGCAGGTTGTCAACTTCTTCATAGACCAAGTCGTTGTCGTCGCGGTATGGATGCATGTTCTGGCGCTTGTAGAGGGAGGTTGCGGCTGGTGAGGTTGAGGGGTGAACGGGCATTAAGCGGCGCTTGGGGATGTATACTTCCTCTGTTGCGATCTTTCGGAACATCTGAAATTCATCTTCGGCGAGGAAGGGGATTCGAGCGTAGATCAGGCAGTAAAGTGTCACACCAAGAGACCAAACGTCGATTTGTTCCGAAACCTTGGGTTGTTCTGTGTCCAAGTCGGTGTAGCACAACTCAGGAGCAAAGAACGCAGGTGTACCGACTGTCTTGGCGAGTTCAAGATCATCGTCGAAATCCTTGGCCTCAGATTCGGACACTGTGTCGTCAAATTCGCCATCACGAATAGGTCGGCCAAAGTAGGAGACGCCAAAGTCAGAAATCTTGACGCGATGATCTTTACTCCACAAGAGGTTGGCTGGCTTAATATCACGGTGGACGACACCTTGATAATGCAAGTATTCAAGACCGAGAACAGTATCTCTGAAAGTTGATCGAGCTTGGTCAAAGGTGAAGCATGGAACGTAGGAGAAGTCGTCTGAGAAGGGGTCGTGTTGTTGAGGGTTGAAATCGAGTGAGGACATGTGTGAGATGATCGAATCAGCCATGCTGGGAGAACGTCCTCGGAAGCCTTCGTCGACGTACGGGCCGTACATGGTGCCATCCAACGCAGTACTCGAAGTGGGGTTTGATCGAAGAGCGCTGGGGGTTTCCATGTCGTCTTCCCAATTGATGAACTCGTCGGGATCTTCAACGGCCCGAGTTGACGAAACAACAGATCGTGATCGTGAATGTGCCCTTTGTTCATCGCGGAAGGTTTGTCGTGAAGTAGGTCTCGATGGTGATCCATCACTGATGGCAAAGTCTTGCATGGAGGATATGCGAGACTGACTTCCTAGGCTGCTACTAGGCTCGTCGGCCCCTCCGTTCTCGAAACTCCAGTTCATCTGGCCCGGATAATTCTGTGCCATCTTGGCTCGTTTCATTTGCTTGATAGCCTGGCGATGTTCGAGTAGTTGTTCGTAGCGGTCCTCCTCGGGAGTTGGGAGCTCGCCTCGCATTTCGCGTTCTATGCGTCGTCGTTCGAATAGACAAATGTGAGGGAGACCCTTCTTGCGCCACACAACTTCACCGAGTTCCACATGCTCAAGAACCATGTAAATCTTCTTGAGCTCAGGGTCGTCAATGACTTCGAGAAGGGCGACGACATTCGGGTGACGGATCTTCTTTAGAATGGCAATTTCCTTCTTCGTCTTGTCTTGGGGGGACTTTGCTGTAACCTTTCCAAGGCGACGCTTCTTAGAGAAACGTGGGATGATCTTGATAGCCACATTTTCGCCTGTTTCGAGGTTACGAGCCAGCTTGACTTTACCATGCATTCCACGGCCAATTTCTTCAATCACTTCATATTGGTTAATGAGCTTGCGGCCTGTGGCGGTATCTGAGTCAATGAGGGCCTTGTGTGTCCTATGATTGACAAATACGTTAGTGTCTGATAAGTGAAACGGTTGGTGCATGCCAGGCTCCCTGGCCGTCTCCCCCACCATAGGCGAGCAAAGCCGATTGGAAGCGGAACAAGCGAAAAAGAAAGGCGGACAATGCGATACGATATTCCCATCGCAGATTGAAATGCTTACTCTCTAACTTTGTGCATCTGCAAAGGGTGCAGGAGAGGACTTTGGTTGTAATTGGGAGGTGTATTGTTCTCGGATACGGAGGTGACGAGATTTTGCCTAGAAGGCGAAGGGCTGAAAAGTCCTGGCGAAGACATCGGAGTGCTGTTGGCGGTCCTCAGAGGCATGGAGGAGGAGGAGGGGAGATGGGTATGCAGCGGCGGGGCTCCGCGAGCCGTCGACGAGAGGGAGGCGGACGACTGTTGCTGCGATAGAGATTTGTGGTGATGGCGGTGGGAATGGTGATGATGGTGCTGGTAGTACTGTGAGGGATCCATGATGGGCGAGATTGTTGGAGCGGCTGTTGTCGCCTCGACATGCTGAAGGGGAGTGCAGAAGGCTCGCACAGGCGGGCCGTGAGTTGCTGAAGTCACAACGGGATGTGACGAGGAATCGATCTATAGTACCATTGTCGCGTGTAGAGAGAAGCGTATATCGAAGGGGAGTGAGTGTCGAAAACGTCCAAGACGTTGAAGTTGAGGAACAAGAGATTCGGTGAGAGGAGAGGTTGAGATGGTGACTGGAGTAGTTGGTAAAATAGGCTGGACAAAAGAGTAGAGCAAGTGGAGCAGTGCAATAAGAGAGAACAGGTCTTGTGTGTTTGGGGGTGTGGATATTTTAGTGTTGTTGGTGTTGGTGTTGGACTGGACCCAGTGGAGTTGGTGATGATGGAGGTGGGTATGGAACTGCCTGTGAGTGGGAAGGCACAGTGTCCGTCTCTTTTTACTAGGCCCATCTCTCACTGCAACTCTGAATGGTGTGTGGTTCGTAGTGGCGACCGTCGAAAAGAAAGGCCAGTGGTTGTCGCAGCCGAGCTCGATCTGATAGCGGTACCAATGTGGTAAGTCTCTACTGTGCGAGCTCCGAGGAAGTCTTCTGGTCTGTGCCTCGACCCATGGCGCCATGCCCTCTCTCCCTCACCATCTTCAGATCAACCCTAGGCCAAATTCAAAGATACGCTGTTAGATCCACTGCCCTCAAACACTGCAGCTTCACCCCTCGACCTTATCCACTCCACCTCGCCCAAAATCTCCAGTCAGTAGCGGCCACCGTCCACCGTCCAGCGTCACCAAAATACAACACACACACAAATCTGTTCCGTTTTCGCTCAGCCCGGCCGAGGTTTCGTTGTCCCCAGCAGAAAAGACGACTCACTCATTGCCAGCACAACAAGTCAATAAACCGCGCAGTCATCTCGAATTTGCCTTTCAACTGTAGGCCCAATGCCGTCAGGTACCTGTCTACCAAGTTAGGTATCTATGGTCTACGTAGTAGATATCACCATCCGTCTCTTCTCGACAAGACAAGCCAAGCAAGTCATCGATCAGAAAGGGTGTGGGTTCCTTATCAACACTCCCCTGAACGCCGCCTTTTTCACTCTTTCTGTGACGGCGATGTCTGTTTCTGCTGGACTACGGAGTGGACCGGCCGCCTTCAAGGATTCGGCCCCTGCTCGCTCCTCCATCCGCTCCGTTCCTCGCTCTCTAGCACACGTCGTCTGTTGCCGTCGCCGTCGCCGCTGGCGTGGTCATCTCTCTCGACAAAAGTATAGATGAGGTTATCTCGAAACGCATCTTGGCTTGGCTCATCATTCGACGCAATTTCTCAACATCAAGCCACAACTAGTCAGAAGCGAGGCTTTCCCTAGGCATGACCGACGAGGGTCCTCTCAAGCGAGCCAGCACTGAGCATTTCCTGGCCTTGTCCGAAATGTCTTGGCAACGCTTGGGCTGGCTAGGATGGCTTTGGGCATGACGATTTACAGTGTCCTCTGCAGCGCTGCAGAAACAGTAACATCGATGCGTGCTTGAGATTGGTTAAAAAATGCCCGGTTTGCTCAATGGAGGCCCTGGCGCCATCTGACTGGACGGAGACATTCTACCAAACTGCGATAATTCCCTCGGACAACCCTTCTCTGGTCGAAGTCAATTCATTGTTGTGCTAAGCTCACCACGTCCTGAGAATACGTGAGGGGCATGGTTTGTGACTTCTAATTGAGTGTATCGTTATCTGGAGACTTGGACAATTGGCTTACAACTCACAAGTATTTGATTGGAGCCTACAAGACTCCAAAATTACACCTCGTGGAAATTTACACGCATTGGACAAGAGCTCAAAACTCAACCTTGGAGGTCCTGAACTATTGAGTAGCTGACGCAATGGAGACAGCCAGGGAACTCGAACAGACAAGACAAGCAAGGCTCAAGCGAAGCGATTGCGGGTCAAAGTGCGGGAGGCGGTGATGCTGGAGAAGAAGTGGCACTAAGGGATACCTGAGCTACTCATATCGCAGGCTTCTGATTCGTACTGTAAGACTGTGCCATCGAGGACACTGCGGGCGTCTTCAGAGCCCGAAAACACCACAGACGGTGCCCAAGCACACTGTACAGACACTGCCCTCAAACCGTATCTGAGAAAGTATTGCTGCTGTCAGTGGGGCAGCGTTTCGCTGGGGACGGGAACTTAAGTTTATGGTACCTTACCTTCCCAGGCCATGATCCATCACTCTAGCTGTCGGAGCCTTGGAAAGATCCATGAGTCTGTGGGAATTTCCAGGAGATTCCTCAAGCACATCACTGGGGCTGCTGTGAATACTTCACTTGTACGGAGTACAGCTCACCAGTGATTGATCTGAATCATTACGAGCCCCTGAAGCGCAGTCTCAAACTCAATTTACTCAGCTTCAAGCGAGGAAAGTGATAAGATAACACCAGGCACAAGGAATGGACGGCAGGATAAGCAGCTGTCCTCGAGCCAATGGTAGTTTACCATTTTCAACTTCCATGTGTCTGTGATTTCCCAACTCGTTCGCGTTGGGGCTTGGTGGCTTGGCTAGGCCTTGCGATGTCTTTGGCTGGACCCATTTCGCTGGGGCATTAGTTTTGCTCCCCTGTCCCAGCCCGATAAGATCCGTGTCTCTGAATGCAGGTTTTTTTTTCGCTCATTGTTTCTTTGCTTTTTGTCTCTGGCGTACCTGAGATTGTACTTGGGGCATCCTGGCTTAGTCATGTCTTGCCGTCTACTCTACATACTAACCAACAGATTGGAATTCAAAAAGCCTCGTTTCAGAGATTCAACGGAAGTTGTCCATGCCGCATCAAAAGTGCTGGCGGTATTTCTACGCCGCCCTAAACGCCGTTGTCTGCGTCATGGACTGCAGGGCCGAAGTTGATCTGATTCAGGTCCCTTTGTCTGCAAGGATACGGCGTCTGGTCTTCATAATATCTTTTTTGTTCATACCGTTCATACATGGATGTCCAGTGCTTCAAGGTGAGGTTCTACGAAAACGGGTGGTGCTCGCGTGCCAGTTCAAGTCTCAGTTGCAAACGGTCAGCCTTGAAACGCCGCGACTCTGAACGGTTCGATGTCTTGTGAGACTCAGCTTCTCAAGCGAGTCACAAATACGTCCTCATTACGAGTCGATAGATATGGATTGTGGTGCATAATTGTGATATGTTGCACAACATTTCAATGACATGTGGTTGCCAAGATCAACAGTATGGCCGGAGATAGACTTCACTTAGAGCGTTCTTGCACCCTGGCACCACGACGAACTAGCCAGTCCGCTGCGTCGATCAGAGTCGGCAATTCTTCGCTGCCCCTTTTTTATTTCCAACCTCCGGGCTTAGGGTCCGTCGTTTGATTCATGCTTGGGCTTGGCCAGCTACGCCTCGCATGTCTGAATCACATGCATTCCATGCGCATCTATCGGTGAAGAACGCATAATAGTTAGATCGTTCATTGGGACTCGACATGCTGAGTTCATGTTTATGTTTGAGGCTCTATTGTTGAAATTATTGGTAAATGACTCGCCACGATGGCTACTCCATTTGTCGGTTTCACTCCCGTCCCAACACGCACCCTGTACCGTACCCTGTTGCCGTATTTTAGCGTCTGGATTCTTTTTGTCTGCACTTTGCTGTACAGACTGGCCGTGTTGTAGGTATGTATATGCATGCAGCTGCACAAGACCGGCATCCGGCCCCCGCCGGTCGTTGCTCCGTGTTTGGCGGACGTTCCTTCCATTGATCCTAGCCCCAGAAGATAGACCAGGTTCTCTGTAAAGATTATCAGTGTAGTGATCATGCTACTGTAGCGTTCTTGAATGGCTCATCATCACAAGACGAGACGATCGCAGACAGACCTACCTAAATTTGGCGGGCACTTTAGGGTAGCATCAAGCAATTGACTCCCGTCCCGGCAGGCAGGCAGTTGATGTCCGCCCGTTCCATCCTACCTTGCTCACCTCTCCTGCGTACCTGACCAACTTGGGTAGCTGCAACTTCCCCGCCACACTACGGAAGTCTGCATCCACTCTCTGATCCTCGTCATCCCAAGAAGGAACTGTTTCTTCTTGTTCAAGCTTAACCTCCAAATCTCGACCGTCAGGCATCTTCACGATACCACCCAAAGGCCCGACAGAGCCCAGCAATCACTCGCCAGATCACAGCTTAGCCACTAAGAAGGACACACCCGCACCCCCCGATGTTTTGAGGAGACGATAGCGGCAGTCACGTTCAATATCACTTGATCAAGACTCTGAGCTAGTCTAGCTGGTTAGGTAGTTTAACCACCACTAGCACCTGTGATGAGGATACACAACCAACAAACAAGACATCGAATGGATCTAGCCCAAGCTCTTGATGACAAGAAATTCGAAGCTAGCTGAGACAACGATAAGGATTGTCTCTAATGGAAAATGACAGTCCAGCATCTGAGTGGCTTTCACAGATTCACCTCAAGGAACCTGATTTTACCTGAACGAGCCTGCATTTCCCATGTCTCAGAACGCCATCGAGAAGCAGGGGTCCTAATAGGCAAATTATTTCATTCATGGATTTCTTGGGCCGTTTTTACATTCTTGGAGCTTTCAGCCGGAGGTGAAACTCCTCCAAGTAAGGCTCGATACGATCACCTACCTGGTAATCTGAGCAGAGCCTGCTGCAAAAACACATTCACGCATCTATTGTCAGGCTATCTGTGCAGAGATCGCGAGACCTTTGGATTGATCTTGGCATGCTCAATTTCAATTATGGAACCACTTGTTACTACTTCAACCTTGATACCATACTGAGATGGCCCCATTAAGTTCCCCGGCTTCAAATTTTGTTAATTGGGTAGTTTTCCCCGCAAGAAGGAACCACCTCACAACCACCAGAGCGTCTCAACACCGGGCCGGCTCGGACGATGAGCGGAGCACCGAGCGGGCCCATCCTTTGGGGAAGTCGCTGGGTGATGGAGCACCGTCAGGGGCTGGTAGCCAGCTTGACAGGGGAGGCGAAGCAGGGATAGCCTACGTAGACAACCTCTATTCTCGATTTTTGATATCATCGTCACCCTGAAGGGACCAAGAAGCTGTCAGCGCGGCGCCTTACCTCTTGTCCCCTCAACAACGCCGCAGTTGCACAACGATGGCTGACTCCGCCCCTCGTGGTTGGGTCGTTCAAGAAGCCCAAAACCTTATTGGCAGGCTTTTTGCTTAGTGGCCTGACTGCCGTTCTTCCTTCACGCTGCTTGTCGGCGCTGGTCGGGATGTTGTTGCGCTGCTCGCATGTCACAACCCTGGAGGACAATACTGCAGTCTGCAGGCGCCTGCTTCGGTCTCGATTCAGTTGGACTACCCGTTGCATTAGCAGACCGGGGTTCGATTTGAAAGAGGCGCATGCAGAGATACGACGCTGTGCTCCTACGATCTCTGTATAGATCAGGCCTGGATGACTTTGAACTCCCAAAGGCATTGTCATCACACTCTTTCTGGCCGATTTCGGTCCGCCCGACAACGCCATAATCCGCACCAAGTGCAATTGGAGTCGAGGCAGAGTAGGATATTAGCTGACGAGAATGTCTCTTCGACTCAATTCCCGTGTCATTGAAGCAAGATATTATTGACCATCAGAGGCTTGATGGAATAGCTCGCAATAGCAACTCACTTATTAGCGCGCGATGGGCTGTCGATAGTGGGGTTTCCCGCTTTGACGATGGCCCCAACCCGCACCAGTTATCCCTGCCTGACAACCGTGCATCTGTCGTTCCGTCCCATAATAAGAGCCGAGGCCACGGACCAGCTTCTGTTCACTCTTGTCGCGATTGTTGTTATTAACCTCATTCGATCTCCAGCAACGGAGCAGGGAGAAAAGAGAGCTAAGCGTGCCGCAAATTCATGCAAGCCGGGTCCCCAGATACATCCATACTTCTTTGCTACCATCAAACTTCAGAGAGATCTTGATCCACCAATAAGGTGACATCTGCGTGGTAATACATGTCTTTCCGTGGTATTCCCTATTCGAGACATGTCCGCTATGTCATACCGTGCACTCAAGAGAATGCACCACGGCGCTTCGAGTTCCTGCATCTAACGTGGCGGATGTTCACTGATCTGAACGTGGCCATCGCAAAACCAGCACAGAATCGGCAGACGAATGATCCCGCTCCAAGTTGACCCTGACACTGACTGCATTGCATGGGCACCATGCACAGCAAGCGGCAGGGATGCTACAGTGATTCCACAGATATTTTCCTTGGGCCATAACTCGAATCGTGGCATATCAAGCTACATTAACTCGAGTATCATAGAAATGATTGTTATTTGTATGGATTGAAGAACGCCCTACGGTTCCTAACATGGCAGAGATGCCGGACAAGCTACCAGACTCAGATGTGATTATCAAGAACCCTTCTATGTGACAGAAAAAGGAATGTTGGATGCCCGCTGATTGCCGTTGGTCTTGAAGAACCTTGGTCAGCTACTCCGACCGTACCGTACCTGGAAACGTTGATCCCGCCGTAAGCGACGGTAGAGCAGGATGGTGTCTTCCATAATTCCAGCGAATGAGGCGCTGCACCTGTTTCGTCATGTTCTTGAAAGGCGTTCCGGGGCGTTACATTGCCGAGTCGAAGATGCCAAAAATGGTAAGACGGGAACTTCAGCCATAGGCTGACGAATAATATTCATGAGGAGAGTCGCTGGACGAAGACAATTCGTGGTCACTGCACATCTTGAGCGATCACCTATAACCTCTCACGCACTTTAGCTGTTCTCAACGGAGTACAGGGTGATATTCTTATTTCCAATTCGGGACATTTCGCCCTGTCATATCTGATCAAGGCCAAATTACAGTCCGTGCTATCACAATGCCCGTCAGCGTTGATCAACGCCTTTCGTCAACAGCGGTTGTCACACCAGGCTGCATATAACGCTCGTCCTACTATCAAATGTTGGTGATTTCAACTTTTGCTACCCTCGTTCGGCAAATGCTCACATCTTACTGCCTGCCTCTAGAAATGATAGTCGTCAGTAATACGGTGCAGGTCTTGGTCTACCGTCATACAGTACAGACATGACGCCTTTCCCCAATCACCCTATGACTCTTTTCTTGATATCATAAAAAATGATTCGTCATATATTCAGGGTCAAGGCCACAATCGAGAGGCACACTGTATTCTCTGGTCTAAGCCATTTTGGCTGACTCTTCTGGCAGCTAACTCCTGACATGCTTGTGTGCCAAGGCAATGAACAAAGTGCACTGTGAAAGGACTTGGCCCCTAGGTATCTCGTGGGATTGCTCGCAGATACCAGCCCTACCCCCCTGTATGAGGGCACAGACAGATTGATAGCTAACAAACCTTAGTACCCCTCCCCCGAACAGAAGCTGGCTGGCCAGAACTGCAAATAGATCTTCAGATCCAGCAGAACACGGCAGCCAGAATGAAAGATGCACTAATTCCCGGAGATGGTGCTCCATAAGCCAGACGGACTGAGGGAGAAAAGAAAACCTAGGATTTTCGTCACAGATGACGAAAAGACTTAGGCAAACTGTACCAAATTCAGGGGACTATTTGATGGGTTCATTTTAACATCTGTTATCAAGGCCTCAAGTTTTCTTGCAACCTGGGGATCGGAACATGACAAACTTGACTGTTTTATTTCAACTATAATAAGTTCACATAAACACATGTCACCGCTGATCAAGGCAACTAGTAGTTGGTCATGATGCTTAGACTGATTCGTCAGCCTCAGTGATCTGAGGCAGTTGGTAGTTGAGCCACATTGCTATGCAATCCTTCATGGGATCGGATTGCTGGACTTGTTCGCGCACAGCTTCTAGGTTATGATACGAGGGCTGGTACCTGAATAGCGAGATGGAACATTGCTGGTATCAATGGCTGAAATGAAATACGCGCGGATTGGTTACGTTCACCGGGTTTGTTGGTGCGAGTGTGAGTGATTATCATCACACCAGGAACAGGGTTGTTGAAGAAAAAGCAAGCAAAACAGTTCCACTACCTACCCGAGGACTTCGCATGGAAATCGCCCAAGGTTGGTGAGAGATACGGATGAGGATCTAACATCCCTGACACTCACTAGACCATGAACACAACATCATATCATCATCAACACGACACGAGTCGGCGTCGAGGTTACTCCTCCGAAGCCTGGTGATAGAGATGGTGGGTGCAGTCTTGGTCAAATCTGGATGTTGAGACTGTCAAACATTCTTCTTTTGAGCCTTCACATGTGCCTGCGCCTCTGGATTAGAGACGGATAGACATCCCTGAACGCCATGGGCGGGAATGGGCAGCTTGTCGACTGCTGAATGAGACAATTCCATAGGCTATTTGTTGGGCGAGTGAGCTTGGGGCTGGGGTAGGCTCATGCTCATGCTCATGCTCATGCACAACATGCTCGCTTTTGCGGATCCCAGAACGTGATGGAAATGGGGACATGGACCCATCCATCCATTCATGTGTATTGGTGGTGTGGGGAAGCAAGGCATGTCTTAGTCCAACGTAAATATGATGTCGTCTTTGGTGAGCAATGTTGGAGGGTTAAGGACTGACTGACTGATTGATGGATTGATTACTCACAGGCTACCGTACCCCAGATCAACTATCGATTTGCCCAAGAGTTTTGGGAATAGTCTCGTGTCTCATGAGGGTTGCGTTGATACGAATCCGGATATCACCCAAGTCAACTCAGGGTCGTATTGATTAATGTCGACGATACCCGTATTTAGGTCAACATGACCATAGTAAGACATCTGCATGAACAGGGTAAGTTCAGAACCTTGAAGCAAGCCAAAAACACGGATATCTAATATTACAAGAGCCTGCCTTATCTGCGGTACACGACTTACATCAGATCAGCCCTAGGTCAAAGTCTGTGTCCAGGGTCCCAGGAGAGCGGAAGCCACTCAGCTCTCATCACAACTTTGCGCCCGTACAAGATAGACTGCATCTTACAATCATCACAGCATTGACTCCTGACACCGCCTTTCTGGTGAGGGCACTAAAACGGAACAACCTAAGCGCTACGGACGAAATCGATAGAGTCGCAATCACCACGCGAGATCATCAATGCATGTCTCGGAGCCCATGTCCTTAGACCGTGAGTGGATTAGTACACTCCATCTCAAGATCTCAAGAGACTCCCGTACGGGTTGCAACAGGAATCCGGACATTTTTGTAGAGCAGGGCTAATATACAGAATAAACTCAAAAGGATATCGCTATAGGATTGCACAATTTCACGACAAAGACCAACGCTTTCACCACGTCTCCTCAGCTCTTTTTGTCGAAAAACTGCTCACGCCCCATGGAAGTGCATAGAGAGCTTAATACCGAAGATTTCTTGAACCCTGTGCCTCCTTCGACCGGCTGTTTCGTAAGGCTGTCGATCTTCGTTTCGAAAAACCTGATATCGAGCAAGCTGATGCTCAAGACTGCAACCCCATACATCTTCGGGGTCTTGCCCCCTTTTCTTCGCTTCGTACGCGGCAGCCACGGCAGTCCGTGATCTGATTCCAATACCTTTGCCAAGTGTCTCACAATACTCACCGTAGAAGCAGCTGCTTTATTAGCAGCCACACAATGATCTTTGTCAAAACGACCCAACCAGTCATATCATGAGATCTAGACAGTGCGCCGGATTTGGAAGCAAGGCAGGATGAAGACTGTCGCCTATCAAGCAGCGGGCGGCTGAATGAGGTGGTGCTGAGCACAGACTGCACTGTCGAGAGGCTACGTATGTTGGGAATTTTTGATGCGTGATGGATGGACTGGACCCTAGGTCGGCTGACAAGCCATGTGATGCTCTTAGCTGCCCCCAAGCTTCCCACCAGTTGGACACCGGAATCTGTTTCTCGCTTCCAACAATATTGGTTCCAGGTATGGCCCAGACCGTGAAGCGGCGAAGAAAGTGCAACGCGTACATTTTGATTGAACGCGACGCGTGCGAGGCTCAGCCAGCCTTGCTCTCTTCTGCTCCGAAAGGTGTGTGGCCATTCCCACTATGGTGTGCCAAGTTCACATGCTAACCATTACCAATTGGCTAGGCAGTCACCGGGTCTATTCGGATTCGCCTTCGCGTTGTGAGTGAGACATGACATGAGGACCGGGCAAAATAATGGAATGCCCGGAGTATGAGGTGGTGTATGAAAGAGACGGACAGCACGGAAGAGATTGAGCGTATTGACCTCTCTGACATTGCGTGTATCATGTTGCAGCCTATCCAGAGAATGGCGGCATTATTGTTGGGGTTTCGTGAAGTCGACTCCCAAGATATCGTCCATCCATGGCCCGACCTTTGCCGCATCGCCATCGGCCATACCAGCTTGGGAAAGCTGTGCGCCCCAGCTGGAGACGTTATAGATGGATGATGATGTGAGTGCTGACAGACCGTTTTCTGAGGTGGGAGATGATGGGCCTTCGGCTGTGAATTTGTCTACGACACCGTGTCTAGCCTCGAAACGAAGCTTGGTCTATGTCCCCATCAGTTGATTTGCCATATGCCTCTGCCAAGCGGTGTATCACTCACGTCAAAGTCCAGTTGAGGACGCTCTCGAGGGTCCTCCTCGTAGGGGAAAGTTGAGAAGGTGAATTTAGGTGTCTGTCCATAGATCCAGTCCCGCGACTGTAGTTCCTCATACCCTTTGCTGATGCTATCCGTCTCAAGTACCTTGTCACTGACGACCTCCTGGACATCGAATTTGCCGTACATGCTTGCAAACTGTTCCACAACGGCAGCCTCGAAAGCAGCATTCTCGATGCCGACGTTGCGGACAGGGCTGCGGACACTGTCGACGCCACGAGTCTTGATATACGACTCAGCTGGCGAACGCAACATCCCTGAGATATTGTTCAGGTTTGGGCTGCGTAGGAGGCATGTTCCGTGGTGAAGAGACCGAAGACGAGTGAGTTTATACGCGGACCCTGAGATTTTGTAGGTGCCGATCGGGTCATCAGGGATATCTATAACGATGTCATGTCGCTCATTGACACGCGTATTTGGCTTTCCAAGAGAGGATAGAGCTCTTACAACCATCTCGGCGTGCTTGTTCCGGTCGAATACTGCAGGAGGGCAAATGACGCTAAAGTTGACATTTCCTTCATCGTGAAAAACAGCGCCTCCCCCTGAACGACGACGGACAAGCTGGACTGGCCCACCAGTCCAACCTACGCTTGTAGGATCATTACGGAACTGGGACAGTCTTCGAAGATTCACCTCCATCCATGGATTTTGGTTTCGACCAAAGACAATACAGGGGTCATTGGTGTAGAGGAAGAGTATGGTTGACTCTGGGGGCGTCTTCTGGAGAAGATGGTGCTCAACAGAGAGGTTCAGGAAGGGATCACGAGAAGTTGAAGTGTATACTTGGATCTTATTGGATGAATGAGATGCTGCACCGGTGAATTGCCGTCTTGATATGGCTGATAATGAGGGGAAATGTCGTGATATGTTTCGAGGCGTTGAGCCTAAAAACGAGCGATTGGGCCGCATCATGATGACAAGAGTTAATATCCGAATAGAATTTGAGAATCAGTGAGACAAAGCCATAGATGGACATGCAATTGGGCCGGAAATACGGTATTATCCAAGGCAATGGATGAGACTCGTCGTTGAAGCTAATGTATCCAATGAGCAAAAGAGTTGAGGAAACAAACGTTTGGTTGTTCTCAGCCTCGGAGACGGAAAACCCCAATTGAAGTTGACCCCGCCGCGGACCGGAAATAGGGCGCTGAAAGCCCTGTAAACTTTAGGGGCAGTTTCAGTTCCGCAACGGACGGTAGCGGGTGCGGGTTCGGGAAACATCCAAACCAGTGAGAGCGCTGTGCCTTGCAGAAAAAGGAAAGTACCGAGTGAAGAAAGGAATTGATTGATAATCTGAATCGAGTTTTGCTTCGACATGACGTTTTGTATCCGTTGAGATGGAGAATGCTTGGGCTCTGGCTAGGTAGGATGAAGGAAAACCTGGGACCTTGACCCTAAGCGATAAAAATGCTTAGGTAAATCTAGCCTAGTTTAGGGGACTCTTTGCTAAGTTTATTTTGACACCCTAAATCAAGGACTGCTATTTTCTTGCTCCCTGAGCCCCTGGAGCAGGTAGCTATTGGCTCTGAATCTACAGCGGAAGAGCGATTATCCAGACTTTATGGAATCAGACGAGATGCATGGATGGACATCAATTGAGTCACAGCAACAGCGGCCCGATGTCGCTTAATGACAAGTATATAATATGGCCCTTCCAAGTGATATGATAGCTCATGTTTTTCATCTGATATCTTGGCGCCTGTTCTACAAGAGTTCCATGATATTTCTTAAAGATCCGTCTGAAGTTGATCGACTGAGGCTATCTTGACTGGCCAATCAGATCGCTCACAATCCATCTACCGTGTTGCCCCTCCCCCGCGCTTTCCAAACGCACAAAATTTTGGACCGAAATCGGCAGGAACGAGTCCCCTCCAGACCAAGAACAGCCTCATTGTCTTCCCTTCCATTCTCCAACGGCCGCCATCTTTCATCTTCCAACTCATCAACCATTGGATTATCTCTCCCCATCATCAACACAATCATCAACACATTACATCATGTCCAGCATTGGGCAAATCTTCCGGGTGACGACGTAAGTTTCTATTTCTTCCAGCTCTAACCCCCCCCTTCCCCCCCCCAAAATCGACAAGCAGCAGCTAAAAGCCATCTCTTTGTCTTCTTACAGTGCTGGCGAGTCGCATGGAAGAGCCATCTCGTGTATCATTGATGGCTGTCCTCCCGGCCTGGACCTCACAGAGGCCGATATCCAGCCTCAGCTGAACCGCCGTCGACCAGGTCAATCGGCCATCACCACACCTCGTAACGAGAAGGATCGCGTCACCATTAACTCTGGAACCGAAAATGGCGTCACTCTCGGAACACCGATTCTATTGACCGTCCCCAATGAGGATCAGCGACCAAGGGACTACGGTGATAAGACCATCGACATGTACCCCCGTCCCAGCCACGCAGACTGGACTTACCTCGAAAAGTACGGGGTTAAGGCCTCGTCAGGTGGTGGTCGCAGCTCTGCACGCGAGACTATTGCTCGAGTTGCCGCTGGTGCTGTTGCCGAGAAGTGGCTCAAGCAGACTTACAACATTGAGATTGTTGCCTTCGTCAGCTCCGTCGGAACCATCAAGCTTTTTGCTGATACAGAAGCCATGAGCAACGATCCTGCCTTCCTCAGTCTCGCCGAGACTCTCACCCGCGAACAAGTTGACGAAAATCTTCCTGTCCGATGCCCCGATGACGCCATTGGCCGAGCCATGGAGGCTCGCATTGCGGAGCTTCGCGATGAGCACGACAGCACTGGCGGAACTGTCACCTGCATTATCCGCAACGTGCCATCTGGTCTTGGTGAGCCCTGCTTCGACAAGCTCCAGGCCAGTCTTGCCCACGGCATTATGTCTATTCCCGCTGTCAAGGGATTTGAGGTAGGTTCCGGGTTCCATGGGGCCGAAATGACCGGAAGCAAGCATAACGATCCTTTCGTGCCAGCACCTGCTCTCGACGCCGCCACCCAGAGGACAGGCATTCCTCGCTCTAGACTCCAGACAAAGACGAATCATTCCGGCGGTATCCAGGGTGGTATCAGCAATGGCATGCCCATCTTCTTCAGAGTCGCTTTCAAGCCTCCTGCCACCATCAGCCAGGACCAGATCACAGCACTCTACGATGGCTCAGGCGAGGGTGTTCTCGCTGCTAAGGGAAGACACGACCCCTGCGTTGTGCCTCGTGCTGTCCCTATCGTCGAGGGAATGGCGGCGATCATGGTGGCTGATGCTCTCATGCAACAGAATGCGAGAAAGATGTCTACAGTCAAACCATAGAATGGTAGGAATGGCAAGGATCATGCTGAGGGCCATGACAAGGACTATGATAAGGAAAACGAGAGGATCGCAGTGCATTAGATACCAAAAACGGAGAGCATGAGATGGGACTTTTATTGACATGAGGGATGACGACTTTAGACTATTCTTAGCTTATCTTTAGCCTTTCAATCCAAAGACTTGAGTAATTTTACGATAATGTTCAATATTTATGAAAATTCTGACAAGTTTTTAAGGGAAGAAAGAAAATTTAGCAAAGATATCCTAAGTTTATATAAATTTAGGACATCTTTATGAAGTTTAGGATATCTTTACTAAATTTAGGATGTCTTTTGCTGAGCTAACATTAAGGTCTGGTATTTTCTTGCTCCCTGAGGACCTAAGCCACGGTTTTTAATCCTAAACCTTGTGCCAATATTCTTCCGAGACTTCTATAATGTTCTTGACAGCTGTTTACAAGTTCTTTGTAGTCTTTGGAAAAATCCAGAGACAGACCAATAGAAGATAGCTGGGGATATTTCCTTTTCCTCAAAAAGTGCCACATCATCATAGAACACATGCGAGATATAACAGTGGTAATTCTTTTCGTATTTATTCTTATGCCCCTCGTATATGAACAAGCTAATGCCTCGTAACCCTTCCAATTCGATAATATCCCAACGCCGTAATGCATCAACTCCCCTGGACAACAACCCACGTCTACCTTGTGTTTGGGGGTCCAGGGGTGTGGGTATCATGGCCTTTCTGAGACACAAACAAAAACAGAAAACTCCCAAAGGAAAAAAATATCCCTGATCCAATCACACCTTCTATCTTATCTTGTACTCTTTAATGCTCGCCTTTTAGTTTTTACTCTTCTCCTGATTGGGTTGCAGCTGTTTCGCTCTCCGTCTCGGCTGTGGGCTTGCTTCGAGCTGAGTCTCCATCTCGAGCCATAATCATATCCTTTTCAGCTTGGATAGCCTTCTCTCTTCGCTGTTCAACGTCTTCTCGGCGAATAACTTTTCGTAGACCCTCGCTTGCTTGGAGGAGACCGTCGATGCTGATGGCGTGCTCTGTCATCTGATGGCTGATGTATGTGTATATCCCGGCAGGTGTGTTGCACTGTAGCAGGTTTCCCTCGTTGAGCTTGAGGAGGGCGAGGGCGACTTGGAAGAGAAATGTGCTGCCGTCGTTGGTGCAGAGGACGACGTCCCAGACGCGGAAGAGAGCCTCGGCGCTGAGACAGTCGGTGAAGACGGAGAGGAACCACTGGAAAGTCAAGGCCTCGAGCTCAATGGATAGCGAGTCGAGATGTGCTGAGAGCTTGGGGAGGATTGCTGAAACATACTGTCGCAGTACCTGTTGATCTGCGCGGGAAGCCATGAGTGAGTGGTCGTAGTAGCCGTGGGGAAGGATATTCTCGATGATTGAAGTAAGAATCCAAAATGCGTCCTCAGCAGAAGGCATCATGAGCAACAAGTTGGCAGCAATTAAATTCATGCCCTGACAGTACCCCACGTCCTTATTGCGCCTGGAGTACGCCAACAAGACTTCGTTCAGCTTCTTGACACCAGGTCCCTTGCGGAAGAAGATATTGTCTGTCAAGGTCCTGTTGATGTCCATCTGAATCTGACTAACAACAACAGCATCGTCGTCCTCGCCGGTCTGAGCGACCAAGTCTTCGTAATAGCCAGGGACACGAAGGGCTGCAGCTCCCGAACACTCTGACCACACCTTGGCGCGATAGGTGACGGGAATACCGCCCAAAACCAGGGTTTTGAATTCGTTCCACTTAGCTCTTCCGACCTTGCCTTTGACGCCGAGGCCTGAAACTCCAATCATCTCGCCATCGGCAACGCGGGTTTCAGGAAGGATCATGGCAGGTTGTTCGTAGCGAGCATCAGCAGCGGATTTGGCGGCAGCAATTGCGGCTTCGCCCTCCCGCTTGCGTTCGGCGCGCACCTTTCGGAGGAAATCATTCCATCGAACTGTCTTTTCACGCTGAAGGGCGTCGTGGACATCGCTCAGTTGCTGCAGGAGCAGCTTGACAGGTTCGGTATCGTCCTTGGTGAGTGCGATGGATGATTCAGACTGAGACGGCCGTGAGGTCTCACTGTCGACTGCAGTAGTTGTGCTAGCTGATGGAATAAGACCAGAGTTGGTTGATACGATTACTGGCTTGACAGGCTCGGTAGGGTAAAGCTCTGGCTCGGGTGTCTGAGCTCCCTCCATAACCTCGATGGATGGAATCGCGATACTTGGCGTGTGACTGAGAAGTTCAGTGGGAAACGTTGCGATTTTCAGATAATCGGTCCATCTCTTAGCTTTGCCCTCTTCCGCGTTACGTTCCTCCATGCTGTTCAGGCTCTCAGGACGTCCCTCACTCGACACACTTCCCTTGGGGCTGGGAAGGTCCTCTAATGCGTTAGGTGAGATGCCACCTCGGCCGTTGGCCAGCATCTCTGTACGACTGCCCTTGCGAATATGTCGAGCCACCTGCGCCGCCTCGCGTTGTCGTTTCTTGCGTCGCTGATCGTATATGAATCCAAACCGGTCCGTCAGATATTCGCTGTTCGGAAAGTTGTTATAGATATGTGTTAATGTTGGTGGCTGTGACTCTGGTGATCGGATAGCGTCCATCTCCACAGGCCCATAGCT